ATCGGCCATTTCCACAAAAAAATTTTGATTTCAAGAGGTGAACCCTTGATGAATCCTTGTAAAGGAACTAGGCAGTTCAAGTGCCTATTCTTGCTTATGACTCATTAAACTTACGTACTGTAATAAGAGATATTTAAGTTTTTGAAAGCATTGAAAACAGGTAAATCCTCGTATGAATTAAGATCCAGGCTTGCTTGATGAAGTCCAGTTATTTATATGCAAGCAGCAAGGCACAGAAGATTAAAAATCACGAATTGGATTTCGTTTAAGTCAAACAGCATGGAACCATTGCTGTAACCATTATTTAAGAAATATTTGGATTTACAAGATCCAGTTGCAAAATTCAGGCCAAAATAGGATCAACTGCATTCTTACTTATTAGGAACTGCAACTGAAAACTGTTGATTTGAAAAGTAATTTGAGAAATTGAAAACAAAAATCTTACATTGAGGAATTTTAAAATCCTAATAAAATCTTTCATACAAGAGATTTAAATCAAAATCCAAAAAAAAGACCCTATGAAAAAATGATTTAAATCAAAATTCTTTTTTAAAATCATTGCAAAAAGATTTTGATTTTGATTTTTGATTTAAATCACCCTGGTTATAAGGGAAAAAATTGATATATCAAGCTTATTTCGTTCTTTAAATTCAAACAAATAAATTTTTAATATTAAATTAATATTTCTTCTCTAATAACCCATGAAAAACATTTTTAAATGTTCCATACAATTATTTCATCCTTGCAATCCTTATATGCAAAGGATTGTAAGAATTACAATCCCTACAATCCTTTCCATATAAGGATTGTGCGGAATACAATCCCTACAATCCTTCTCATATAAAGATTGTAAGGATTGTAAGGATTGTACAATCTTTACAATCCTTCCATATGAATTGTGAAGAATTGTACAATCTTTACAATTCTGTTGGAGTGTCTGACCCTTGGTTTTAATAGCTCAGGTCCATTGTTATATTTTCGGGAAACGCATTTAAAAGTCATGAAACAGTCTTTTTGTCCTACAATTAATGATTTTTATATTTCATATGAAAAACACGTGATGAGAGCGTTTAGAAATTCGAATTTATTTCTACCGTTGAAAAATTTTGAATCTCAAAAAACCGTTAAATTACCAAGCCTTTTTATATGAAATTTTTTTTTGCAACAGACTGTTATTTATACTATGATTAATGATTTTACTGTAACTTTTGGCAAGATACTTTCAAATGCATACGACCGTTACAAAATTTGAACTTCAGAAAACCGTTAAATGATGAACTTTTTCTATATAGAAATTCATTTCTACAAATTATTAATTATACTATAGTTATTGTTTTTGAAGTGCAACTTTTAGCGGGAAAATTTCAAATTATTTATTGACTGTTAAATAATAAAGCTTTTCTTTATAAGCATGCATTGTAATTATTTGCTAATTGCACTAAAATCAATGATCTTCTAATCTTCTAATGATCTGTAAATGAACGCAAAATAAATATACAATCAAATGCTGATCGCTAATACAAAAATGCGCTTAAGTCCCTCGATCAATAACACGAGGACTTCTGTAATTTTTTTTTATTCCTGACAACATCCCACTTGCACCTATCGAACATTTTACAGCAATGCGATTATTCCCATAGAAATGAAAAAAAAAACTCACGACTCAATTTCGTTACGTTTCAAATAAATTAAGAGTAACTTGAAACGAAAAGTCGCGAAAAAAGAAATCTCAAAAAAAGTGCTCGAAATAAAATTTTCCACAATCAATTTTCATTTTTGTGTTGAGAAAATAAAAAGAAAAACATTTTACACCAAATTGGATGAAGATGGAAATTCGAGAAAATGAGAAATTAATTAAATAAAAAAAAGTTTGGGCAAATTGATGCAAAATGTGTAAGATACGAAATTAAATCCATTTTGAGGGTCTTACAGCATTTTTTATCTTCAATAATTTTCAACTTATCTGCTCGAAATTTTTGTTTTTGGGACTCATTCAGCATTGAAAGCAAGCTAGACATTGCATTTTTTTTTTCAAAAAAAAAAAAGAAAAAGATATTGAAAGACGTAAATTTCATTTTAATGCCTCCCGTCGACCTTTAATGGCAGCCAACTGAAATTGCTGTGCTTCTATCTCATGACAGTAATCGTATCCATTTGTTAGCCTCCATTTAGCATTCCTTTTCAGGCCCTGTGTATGAATTTAATATCAGCTTTTACATTGACGTTAGATTACATGCTATGCGATATGAATACATGCGGAGATGAACGCACATACACAAATGATGGAAGAAGTAGAAACAGAACAATTTTCATTTTCATGATTTGCATTACGAATGTGGAAATAAGACAAACTTTTTATATATCATTTTCATATATATTTTTTATTATTCGATAAAAATGTGCGTTTTTATTTGTTCTTGTAAGAAGAACAAGAAGAGATGCTGAACTGATAGAATGTGAATTATGTGGGCGGGAAGCATGAGGCTTTGAGCTAAAGTCTTCTTTTTATGATAAAAATTTAAAAATAATATTTTCCACCACTTAAAGATGTATTTTTTGTATTTAATTTTATTGTTGGTTATCAAGGATTATAATTCAATTATTACGTTCATTATTTAAGAAGCTAAAAGGCTCTGTGATCTTAATTCTTAAGAAACTTTGTGACAAAAATAAGTTTGGGTTCGAAAATTTCACTTTTTGTTGGAAGTAATAAGTTAAAGACTTAAAAATTGTCGTTGTAGAGACTCGTCGTTTGGCTTTGATCATATTTGGCATATCGTTGTTTGTTAAGGTTCTAGTTGAAGGCTATAAGGTAAAATATGTCCAAAAGATGACAATATAAGCTAAAGATTCATGTTTGAATCATGAAATCTGGAACAACATTCAATAAACCACCTAAAACTAGGCTCGGCAACTAGTCACTAGTTTCAATAACATCAGGCTCCAGTTTTGTAACTCAGCCTTAAAATCACCTAGACTTAAAAATTTGCTCACCAACCACCCCCCCCCCCCTTCTCTCCAGCTAAGCACCTGATTCTTATCCTTGAAAACTCCGCGTAGCTTTAGAAACCAGCCTCAGCTCATGGAGCCTTACAACATAATCAATTTGCCAAATAGTTGAAAAAAGATGAGACAAAAATGAATGAAAAGAAAACATAAAAGCAATTTTTAATAATTTTTTTAATAATAATGTCATATGAATGCGTGTGAAACTTATCAAAACATAAGCTTCTTTCTCTGATTTCAATCCCTGTTGTGATTCTATTTTTGCCCCAAAAATAAGCAATAAAAAAATATTTTTTTACAATGCGTTCGCTTCTTTTTTTCATGATTAATGGAATGAAAAGAAAAAATAAATTTTGTTGCTGCTTCTTCTGCAAATGAAACATTTTTCTTCTGATTCCTCTCGACTGCGTTATTTATAGTCTATTTTAGACACATAATCAAGGTCAAATAAAAACGAAGCTGACGCTAATCGCACAACAAGTTTATGTATCGTTGTGCTGTTGTTTAGCAACCCCGATCGGCACACATTGAAATGTTTGCCATTCGATACCCGGGTTGATAGGATGATTAGAACCAAGCAGCAGTCGATTGGCAATGGCAGCACTTGTCCAGTTGGAAATGACTTTGAAGCAGCTTCCGCTTGGTCCTAATTATACTATCAACTCGGGCATCGGGTTGCAAACATTTCAATGTGTGCCGATCGGGAGCAAAAGAAGAAAAATCACTGCTGGAAGAGATCCTCATTTATTACGTTTGATGATCCGGCTTAATTTAAACGCATTTGTTCCACTATGAAAAATTTTAAGGATGCTTTATGAAGTTACTAGATTTTGGATTTTTAAAGGATAACGATGGTATCAATGATCCAAAAAGGTTGATCAGGAATTAATAAAATGCTCTCAATAATTGATTGGCTGAACTTGAATCCTTCGAACATTTGTAATTCTTTGGCGCCTCCAACAAGGCAGAAATTTCCAAATTCTTCCCAGCGGTCTCCTTTCCATTCGAGTATTATTTTGACTACCTCTGAAGCTCCTCAAAACCAATGTCCAACACATTTTCTTAAGGAACTGATGCCAAAATATCTCACAAAGAAGAACGATCGTTGCTATTCCAAACAAAACGAAAATTAATTTAAATAAAACTAGAAGCTCATTAAATCCAATTGTATGGTCATGTATGGCTTGTTCTTCATTGTTTTTAAGATTCTCATTCTTGATTCCAAATAACTCAGTCAGGTAAAATTTCTCCCACTTCTGTGTCAATCCAGTGTCAAAAGCTAGGTGCATAAAATTCTGAAATCTCTCAGCATATGGACTTAAATGTCCAACGTTAAGCTTGATAAAATGAGCAAAGTATTGTTGCGGTAAAATGTAATGCGAGCTGGTCTTTAAATTTCTGATGTAGGAATCCAAAAAGTCACAGTTGGAAATAACAAACTTTCCTGTAAAGTTATCGTTGATTTCTATTTCCATTTGCCTATATGCCCCTTGATAGTTTGACCGTGTTAGGTTAGTCTTTCGTGTTTGCAAGTATTCAATTAAGTCAATGGCACTTGGGCTTATTATCAAATCACGTTCCTTACTCTCAAGAATGTCATCGATGTCATTAAATTTCACAATTGACTTTCCATCGATTGTTAATGAAGTAAATTGAGATTCGAGATTGATGCGGAGAAAAATTATACACAAAATCATCATTTGCAGCATGATGATTAAAACCCGTCGGTTTTTAAAACTAAACCTTACATGATGTCCTGTATAATGAGCGAAAATCAAAAAATAAATTTGTGGAACTGAATCAACTGCACCTCGATTTCTGAATAGCCACCAAACTATCAAAACTAACGTGAACTCCCATTGTTTTTGAAACTTGATTCTCAATCCTAAAGTATTGTCATTTATGCCATTTGGAACCATTATACAGATAGCTTTTTGATCATATGTCCAAATGTTTTGACCTGATTGTAAAGAACCACTTAATGTCACGTCAAACTATTGGGTTTGAACCGTTTTCTTGAACTTGTTTTCTATTGGATATTCCCCGGTCGTATTTACAATGACATATTGCACATTAGCACTTTGATGTTTTGCAACCGATTCGAAAAAATATTTATTTTTTCTGACTATTTGATTTGAATACTTTGTAAGATTTAAATGAGACTTTACTTGATGGTCTGCTATTAAGTAAGTGTAGCTATTGAGGTTCTTCAGTTTGTCAGGAAAAATCTTGCTTGAGATGCATTTCCAAAGATTCTTTTTAGAAGTAGCCAGTGATGTTGCATTTATGACATCAGTTGAGTTTGTGAAATGGTTTGAAACTTCCACAAAAACGTCTTCATCCTTCTCATATGCCAGACTGAAATTGATGATGCCAACTTTAGGAAAGAATGTCGATGCGACTTGTCCTACTTGGCTGTTTCTGGTTGATGTGATGATGAAGAATTTTGCCATGTGATTGAGAATTAGTGATGACTGTTGATTAGACAAGATCTTCGAGAATCTGAGCTACATAAATTATGAATTATTTAAATATCTTTAAAAAAGCTATAAAGCTGCCTCACCATATCAATTCGATCAGCAATCATAATCACAATCGATGCCTTACTGTCATAAACTTCAAGTTTATGCTGTTCAATTCGAAAGTCCTTGACATTGACTGATAATCTCTTCTGAATGCACTTCAATGTCTTATCAATAATTGATAACTCAAAGTTGTGTTTAAAAATCGCCATGGATACTGTATTAACTTGATGATCTTTCTTGACTATGTCAATCACAGCATTGCATATGAATTTCGGTAGTTTCGAATCATGCTCGGTGTAAAAAGCCTTTGGAGCAGCTTCACATCTGATTTGAAATAATGCAGTAACACAAAAAATCCAGAGAAAATAGACAACATTAAGTCTTGCCATTGTGAAAATTTCTATTTTATTGAGAATATTTCACTCCAGTTGCGAATATCCATTGGATACCCTCAAAATCACAACAAAGCTTGGTTAGTGATTGTAAAATAGATAATAATCCATTGTGAGAGACAAGCAGACTAAGTTGCACATAACTTTGATTTATTTCCATTTAAACTTATTACTGCCATGAATTTAGAGCAAGCACAAAAGGTTGCAAAAAAAATATGATTTTATGACTTGTAATGACATTCTTATACTGCATACCATCTAGTAATTCACGGACATTTTTCTCATCTCTCACCTCCATCATCCATTACTTTTTCATTACTATGTTGAAGCGGAATAAAACCAATGAAAAAAAAATTTCATATCTCCAGGTTGACATAAAGCTCATCATCATAAAAATAACGGCTAGAGTGGAGAGCGTCGGAAGGAAATATAAAAATGAAAATGGAAAAAAATTCCGCATTACGACCAAATTCAAACCCCACTTCACTGGAGTAAAAAGGAGTCATAAAAATCATCAACTTGGAGTGGACCGATTTTTATTCTGACTTGCATTACATGCGACACATAATTTTATTTTATTTCTTTTATTATTTTTTTGTGTGTGTTTTAGGGGAAATGGAATGGGAAGGGAGGATGAGTTCGTAGTAATAAATTGATTAAGGTGCTATATTGATAAGGCGCATGGTTCATAGACTTTTGGAACTGGTTTAAATGGTTTTTTGGGGTTCCCTTGACACAATAAAATGCTGTTAGTGGTTAAAAGTGAAGTAGGTCGATTTTTAATGCTAAGGTAGCTCAAAGTAGTCTTAAAAGCTTCTAAGCTAAGGTTTTGAATATTTTTGGATTTCACGAAAGAATCAAAATCTTAATAATGTCTTAGATAAATGTTTAAACAGTTGTTGTGACAGATTTCAGTTACCGAACATCAAGAAAACTGCGAAAATGGCTCAATTCAGTTTACACACCCTTAACTAGTCTCTTAATATTACTATATAAACCAGGCAGGTGTGGAGCTAGTCAGATTTACGATTTGTCACTTGCCCGTTGTCTGTTATAAAGCAAATACTTGTTTGCCTGTCACAGATCTGTTAAATCTGTTTATATGTAGGTACGACAGATCTGTGACAGGGACTTGCCTGTGACTTTGGAGCTAGGAAGAAACTTAATTGCAAAAAATGCTGCCTTTAAAATTGTTCTCATAAAAAAGGACCCCTTCTCTCAACAACTTCTAAATACACCTTTGATGTCAGCTAAGTGGATAATGAGACAATAATCCAATCAAATACTCTTGCTGACCAAAGCATGCTACCAGGCCAGGGGGGATTTGGGGGGTAAACAGAATTATTTGAAAAAATCACAAAAATCCCCCCCCCCCCTTAAGTTTTTTCAAACAAAAAAAAATTTTGCTTTTCAAATTCATGACCACGCCCCTGCATGCTAAAAAAAGCAGAGAAAACAAACGTAAATGGCGATAAAAAAACAATTACCAGTCAGAAAAAAATATTACATTTTCTTCTTGTGTTTTTATATTCAATTTATGAGTCTCTCCTTTTCTCTCTCTTTTAAGGGTTACTGGCTAAATTGCATTAAAAGTAGAAAATAAAATTAGGTTGAGGAAAGACTGACTGGATGAGGTTTTCCATCATTTTTTATTGCCTTTTCATATTTCAACTTTTAAAAGGGTGATGAAGATGTTGAGAGGTTGGAAGTTGTGGGTTAATTTGAAGAATCAAATTTTGTGGGGAGCTTGGTGGTTTTAAGCAAAAATATCAGTTGTGGAACCTTTAAATGCATGGAAATTCAGATGAATTAAGCTTGAATTTAATGATATATTTAAGAATGTAAGGTAAGTTGTAGAGTCCTTTTGATAAGAATTTTGTATTCAATTTTCCTTCTCAATGATTCACTTATGACATCTGATACTAAGTACACTGAGGATATGGTTGACCTTAAAAACCTAGATTTGTCGAACAACCTTTAAAGATTCATTTACTTATAACGGTCGTCAAAAAAAAAATTATTTTTTTACAATACAAATTAGTTAAATTAAAAATGCATGAATTACAACAGAAAAACCTTCAATTAAATTCTTTCATAAATTTAGTGAACCCTCTCATATTTTTAATTATACAGTCCAAGCACTCATTCTCAATAAAATGGTTTTAATGATGAATTCATTTTAACGGCAGATACATACAAAGTTATTTTAAATTAAATTTAATTTTAATTGCAGAATATTTGAGCTCATTAAAATGTGATTTTATTTAATTTGAATGGAAAATTCAGTTGATTTTAATTAAAATTCGCTTCATTTTTGATTTTGTGAATATAAATTAATGGCGTGTAGCCGTACTTTCATTAATGGTGATGAGCGAACTTTAAAGTTTTCAGAATTCATTAAAAATCATTTTTGATTGCCGCTGAAATAGTTCATCTAGCTCACAAATGAAACTGAATATTACAAAGCATATATGACAACAATTCTTTGAGTTATGCTTTTCATATCATATATTTTTGATTAGAATAGGAACTCCTCAAAGTAGGAATGAAACTGAAAAATATTTTCATTTCAATTTCAACTAAGCAACTGACTTTGACAAAGCTCCTGGTTAAATATTGATGGGAAATGATCACAAATGACGTCTATAAGCAAACTAGATTTTCAAGCTCACGAGTCAGCTAACATACTTCAAATTCAGACTAATCATCATTAGAAAATGACACCCATGTAGTCATGCACAGCTCTAAATATTTCATGGAATTGTTTTATGTGATGAATGAATCCTTTTTTCCCTTTGTATCCCAAATATGATCAAACTTACATGATTTTATTTTCTAAAATCAAACCCGCATAAATTCTCAATATTTCCATTTTAACCTCAAATATTTTTCAAGAACTCAATAAACAGAACTCAAAATTGACACCATAGATGCAGTAACTATAGCATTGTGATATATTTATTTATGCATGCATGTACATAAATTCATGTGAGAATTTAAAAGCTATAAAGTTTATTTCCAGCAGATCCTTTCTCTCGTTCACACAGCAGTGACAACAATGTTTGCGAATGAAGTAAAAAATGTTTTTGCCAAGTTTTTACTTTTGTTATCAAGTCATCCTTTTGTTTGTTGGTTCTTGCACAAGTAATACAAGTAAGAAAGTAGTTGACACTTTGATGTGTTTAAGGGGTGAGTTTTACAGCTTTTGTGGTGAGTTTGATAAGTTTATGGTGACTTTCAAGTTTGTGGTAAGTTTCATAACTATGTGGTGAGTTTCACATCATTTGTGGTGAGTTTCACATCATTTGTGGTGAGTTTCACATCATTTGTGGTGAGTTTCACATCATTTGTGGTGAGTTTCACATCATTTGTGGTGAGTTTAATAAATTAATGGGGAGTTTCATAATTTTGTGGCGATTTTAATAATTTTGTGGTGAGTTCCATTAGTTTGTGGTGAGTTTTATAATTTTGTGGTGAGTTTCATAGTTTTATAGTGAGTTTCATAGGTTGAGGTGAGTTTGTTAACTTTCTTTACTTCTTAACTTTGCAGTAAATTTTATAGCATTTGTATTGAATTTCACAGCATTTGTAGTGAGTTTTACAGCTTTTGTGGACAGTTTCAAAAATTTGTGGTGAGTTACAAAATTTTTTTGGCGAGTTTTTCGGCATGCGTTATGAAGTTAAAACGTTCAACTTCCCCTGCTTAGAAGTTACAAACCAAAATCACATGGCAACATCAATGTTGACAAAAAAGAAGCAAAAAAAGAAAAAATGCACACAGATTTAATGCATAATAAAAGACGACAATATAAAATGAAATAAAGCGTCATCAATCCGATCTCGATCCTTATCGTCGACTTCTCTATCAATTGCTACTTCACAAAAAAATGGTATATTTTTAGATGATGCTCTCTTCTTCTATCATTGCACTTTTTGTATCCCTTTCTCACTCATTCAATAGCTGCTAAAGCATTATCGTTACTTATTTATCTGTTTACATATCAAGAACATTCTCAACATATGTAAAATTATGTGCATGTATGCTTGTGACAGTCCCTTTTCATTTTCTGTAAATGGATGTGATAAAACGAAAATTTACATAATATTTTGTGATATTTTCTCGTTTTTCTTCATTATCATCTTTTTACTGCTGTAGAATAACCCTTTATAGCCAAATGTACTGGAAAAGATTCGTTGTGTCATTCACTTTGAAGGGATTTGGCTTTAGAAGGATTGCTGAATTATGTTGGATATTTTTGGATTGTTTTGAAAGGTTTGAGATAGTTCTAGGGATTGTGTGATTGTTTGGATTGACTTTTGAAAATTTTTGGATGGAGGAAAGGATATGATAGGAATCATAATCATTTGATGGTGTTGTTTATGGGAATATAGGTTGAACTTAGTTCAAAACCTATTAATATTCGATTAAACAGCAATGGTGTAGTGGTAAGAATCTCGGCTAATCGACTCTAATGACCTGAGTTCAATTCCAGAGAATATTTTGACGGATCTTTGTGCTTTTTCCTGATATAACCATTCAAATCAAGAATGTGGAAATGATTTTGATTATATTTGAACATTTTAAGACAAATCGATGAATCAAGATCAAATAAGTTGAGCAGGTTCGATCTCTTATAAGTCCTGTGTGTCAGTGGCGAGTTTATCGGTCCAAAATTGGAAATCCAATGCCTTCAACGGCTCTTAAAACCTAGAATTAAGCTACATTACATAGAGTATCCTTCACAAAGTCAACATCAAGTCCAATTCACAGTACTTAATTTATGCTTCAACAATCCCCTACAGCAACTAACACAAAAAGCTTTAGAACTTGTTTCAACTTCTCCTTCAATCTATTTACCCTTTCTCAACTAATTCACTCCTCCATATTATCCTGCATTTATGGAATGATAGCACAAACAATTTCCACATACTTATGATGTTGTGATCTTGTTAAAAAAATTTGTTTTTCTACACAGCAAAAAAAACAACATCAATGC